TTTTTTTCCTTTAGGTAGACCCATATTTAAGGCCAAAACATAATCCAAAGTTTCCTTGGAAAGTCTAAAATTATGATGAATCAGGAAACTTGATGAAAGGAAAACTTAATAACCTTATATCCACTTTGTGATGAAAAAGTTTTTGCAAACAAGACTACTGTAGTTTGATAGCTAACAGCATAGCACCTGCAAACTAGAATGCTTAGAGTAAATCTTGGCTGCTATAATGGTGATAATGTTTAGTTCCACATTTCCCCAAATGGGCTTAAATTGTTTCAATAAATTTTAAAATCATTTTTGTTATGTCATGCTTAAACAACTGGTCAAATCCCATTGGTAATAAAACATCTTTTTTTTTTTTTTAGTTATTGTTTTGTACTGGGGCTTGAACCCAGGAATTCTTTACCACTGAGCTATATCCTCAGCCTTTTAAAAATATATTTGTTTTTTGATATTTATTTTTGGTGTAGATGGACACAACACAATGCCTTTTTATTTTTATGTGGTGCTGAGGATCGAACCCAGGTCCGGTCCATGCTAGGGGAGTGCTCTACCACTGAGCCATGACCCCAGCACTCCTCAGCCTTTTTTATCTCTTATTTTGAGACAGGGTTTCACTAAATTGCTGAGATTGACATTGAATGTGCAATCCTCTTGTCTCAGCTTTTAAGTCACTGGGATTACAAGTGTGCACCACAATGCCTGGTGAAACATCTATTTTTAATTAAATTAATGCATTCAACAAATTTCAGTGTTAAGTATGTTATCCTAGTCTTCCTATAGATAGCCTTACACATCTGCACTGTCTCAGGTTGATCTTAGAATTTATCTGTTTGGAACTTTGTGTTTTTTTTTACTTAAACGTTCTTGAGATTAAGGCATAGGGGCAACAGCTGGGAGGATAAGAGTAGGGACAATTTAACATCAACAAATACTTAAAAATAAGCATACAGAAAAGAAACTAAAATGTATTTTTATTTCTTGACTTCTTCATTTCTTCTTCTTCATTATAAATCCCAAATTAATAAAATTAATAATAATTAATAATGATTGGGGTTCTAAAACTTAAATCCCAAGATTATATAAAA